CCTATAGTGGTTTATCAGCCATGTGGCTTGTTTACATTAAGTCTGCATCACCTAATATTTATTACATGTCCTAATTATGTATGCCTTCTCTTATTTTAGTATCTGCCCCACCTCCTGTATACCAGCCCCCTCCACCTGAAAAGAGGCCGGAAGAACATTTTCAGAGGTAAAGTCTTTGTTTACACCTTATGTAATTTGGTACTTGATCTGTTTGTCTTGATACTCAAATTTGATTACCTCCAATTATTGAACCAAGGCTTCTTGGATAAGGAATCAAAATTATCTTTTGATAAGTATAGAGTTATCAGTCGTCATGTTTACATACATACATCACCAGGACAATATTTGATTATGACATGAAGCAGCCATTTAACCCATTAAAATACATTTTATATTTCTTGTGTTATTGAACAATACAGCTCTGGTTCTATTAATGAGGAGCAGGTGCGGAGCGCTATCCTGGCGTTTGTTGACCAGAATTGTTGTTATGGATCCAAACCAGCAACAGAAATGAATTTTGAACAAATTCTACCATCGAGTGCACTCCATGTAAGTTGAAGTGCTGAGTTCAAAGTTTAAGTAGACAAAAGTTCAGATAAACAAAATAGTTTGGTAGTACTAGTTGTTTGGTAGTTTTTTTTTCAGAAGGTCTATGTTTAACGTTTCTAATTTATTTAGGCCTCCTTCCACACTTTCATAATTTTTTTACTATGTTTACCTTTTACTTGTGCTAATTAATATATTTTATTATTATTAATTATGTATTAATTCCTATTTAACTAGTATTCTTATCTTACAACAATGTTTTGTAAGGTGGTAAGCATATCAGGAACTCTTTTGGACTTTCAGTACTTTTAATGTATAGAAAATGCAGATTATACTAAAAAGAATGCAGAGAAACGGTGTTCCAGTTGTATTGTTTAAAAAAAAAAACATGATATCAGAGTGGGTTATACACCCAGCAAAAGCTTCACAATTTTTCTGTGTGTTTGATAAGGCTTAGGGGAGTGGAGAGTTTATCATTTGCGATCTCTGATGTTTTACAACCAAGTCTGAAAACCTAATAATAATAAACTTGCATGCCTATAATCAATCAACATTCAGTATATTTAATTTTAATCATATTATTCAATCAATCATCAGGTTGGGTGACTGGCACTCTTTCCCAGTTTGTTGTTCCCATGTATAATAAATAATAATTAACCTGTTTGAATGCATACAATAAATGTTTATTAATGTATACAACTTGAATGCATAGAGTAGATAACATTAAACTAAATAACATAAAATTAAATCCTTACAGTACCAACTTGAAACATACACTGAGAGTCGTATAACTAAAAGAGTTTGTGTACCTTATCGAGGTGGCATCGTAGATGGACCACATATGGGTGCCCCACCGCCACCATGGTCCATGCCATGTCATCCTGATAGCTTGTTTAAAGACCACACCAAAACCATGGAAATTCCCCACACTTCTGATGTCAGGGTAAGAGAAAATAATTTTTGTCTTTTTAACATTCAAGACAGTAACTGTCTGAGCCTCTGAAGCCGGGCACACACTGATGAATTAATGGTATAAAATATATTATTGGCCCAAAAAAAACCCCAAAAAACGAATGGTTTATATCATCCCCACCCACATGTCTTCTATAATATTGGTTAAAAAAAAAAACTTTTTGAAAAGAAAAAAAAAAATGTTTTTAAACATCAGCATACAACTCAATGATGATGTTTGGCTTTAGCAAAATAAAAATGAAAAGCCTCCCTCCCTCATCACTTTTCCAGCCTAGATGGGATGATAAAATCATTTTTTTATTGAACATTAATATGTAAAATTAGTTAAGAATTTATATATATTTATATTGTAATTTTAATGAATTGTGTAAATAAATTTTCAGCTCATAGATTTATATTTTTGATATTTAGAATTTTTCAATTGCAAATAATAGTATTTCAACTTTTAATACGTTTAGTACTTTGGTAATTTTTTCAATTTTAATGTATTTAGCAAAAAATCTCAATGTCTATTTATTTCCAATATGTATGTATATTTTTGTAATGTAATGCAATCAAATCCAGCTTTTTGCTTTCAATCATAAATTAGGTACCTGAATAAATAAAAAAAAAAAAAAAAGAAAGAAATAAACACTGCACTGACATTCTTGGCCGATGCAATTTTGAAGA